CAGTTGAAGAATGGAGGTTTGTTTTCCCTTGGGAATTGCTAAATAGGAACACAAGCACCATTTAGGTGGCACAAGTAGCAACATCCTCCCCAGACCGGCACACACCTCCAGCCTGGGCATGATGGACAGCAGCTCTCCCACCATAAGCACCTACACACACACACTGGGGAATCCTGCTCTATTTTCACCATGTAGCTTTATGCTTTATGGCATATGGAAAAGTGCCTTCTCCAAGACCACTGCACAGTCATTGCTGCTCTGGCAGGAGGCTTGTGGTTTGCCCAGTGGGATTCAGCTTTCTACCCCAAAGGAGAGCTGTCCTTCCTGCTCACTTGTGCAGAGCAAATACAGAGCAAAGCACAATCTTTTGTTTCCCTGTGTATTAGGCAAACCATCTACCAACCCCAAAGGTAAGCCGTGAGCCACATGCAGACTCATTACATCTTTAATTAAAAGCTTCGCTGCAATGCTCACACCACATGCATGAGGAACTTGGGTACCACTGAGCAGGGGACCTTGGAGCACCCACATCAATGCCACCACAGGGCTGGGAAACTGAAAGCCACAGTTTTGATTCCTTACAAAAGAGCTCAGTGATGCTCATGCTTCAGGAGGGGCACGGTGGCTTCAGTAAATACACCTCAGAGGGGATTCCTGAAATCTGAAGATGACTGACTGTGGTTTAACACAACAACATAAGTGTGATGACAGGCAACTTCACTGAGGCATTAAAGCACCCTGTAGATGAAAGAGACCGTTCTGCAGCAACAGTTGCGGGTGTTAAACCTCAGCCAGAGCAGCTGAATTGCTCCTGGATGCTCTCCTCATTCTTGTTTGCACAGTTTGCATCTTCAGATGCAAGTAGATGGGTAGCTGCATTGGCAAGCAGACAAGAGGACTTGACAACTTCCAAGCTTGCTTTTTTGTCCTGTATCAGCAAATCATGGATGATAACCAGTCCATCTGAGTTGAGAGAATGTGCAGCAAAGAAGTTGCAGAAGCTCTTTCCTAAATAAAATCCTGTAAGTCTTTCTTGTTTCCTTTTACCCAATGAAATCACCTTGATGATTCCCAATTCCTCAGCAGGACCACAGCATGACATCACAAATTCCCATTTGAGCTCGTCATCTGTGATTGTCAGCATTTGGACACTTGAGTCCGCCCAGCAACACCCATGTGCTAAATGGTGAGCTATAAAATATGAGTGATGAGGGCCTGTTTCAGCATTTATAGCATTGATACATGGCTTCAAATGACAAGAAATGCAGCTGAGTTACAGTAGGGCAGATCTTTCATCAAGCACATGGTGAGATCCTTTGATACAGATTTCCATGGGGTGTTCAGTGAGCTCGCTCATCGAAAGCTCTTCACAAAGCTACCATGAGGTAACAGAGAAGCTTTTCCACATGTATAAATTATCACTGGAAAGCTACAGAGCAGGAACTGACAGCGCTCACAGCAGAGAGAGGTCACCAGCAGAAGACCCAAGTGCTGGGGTTACACGGGTTGCCGTGTTGAGAAGAAGCTGAGAACAATGAAAAACAGGGCTCATGTGCCATCATCCAAGGAGAGAATGAGGGGGATTGACTACAAAGAGCTACAGGACTGCATTTCACTGAGCGATGGGGTGAGAGATCCAGATTACAAATGTTTACATTGACTGACAAAATGATGCATTGGGAAAACACAACCCTAGTTTTGCTTTCACAAGGAGGAGTTACTATTACTCACAAATGACATCTTGGGATTGTAACACAACTCTTAAGAAGTGCTAGTTTGATATACCACGGTTATTAAGAAAAGGCAAATTCAACACTGGGAATTATTAGCAAAGAAAGAACATTATTAAGCCAAAACATAAATGAGGTGAAGGATTTTGTGTGCAGTTTTTCAATTCATGACATCCCTGGAGGGAAATTTAAAACAGAAGTATACACAGAGAATTGCATTTTACTCTGTTGGGTCTCTCTCTCTCCCATGGATCTGTACTCAGTAACTACAGCATTCTCTGAAGTAGAAGATTGGAACCATAACCAGCAAATGTATTATCTCTTGAGCACACATTCTGAAGTTGTAACTGAGGGAACAAACAGGCTAATGAGATTATTTTGATTTCAGGCAGATGTTCACCAGGTATGATGCATCTCTGTAATTTAAGGAAAATGGTTCTATAGCTCAGAAGAAATTCTGCCTGCGATTCATTGCAACAGACTAAAACATCAAAACTGCTCCTTGCACAACTCAGGCTATCCAAGCAACCGGGAACAGCAGGTGCCTGCTCAGTCAGGACTCCATACCGAAGTCATTAAGAACAGAACAGGCCTGTTTTCCTTCTGCTCTCGCACAGATAGAACAGGTCCTGTCTGGCAAGTTCTGCTTCCATCTCCTTTGATGAGTGGTTCAAGTACCAGCAGGCCATGGCTGGTAACAGAGACCCAAAAATGGAAGTCTTCAAGTATATCCACCTAGTGCTGTGCGATGCCTGATGAAGAAACCTTTTGCTTCATGTTGCCCATACAGGCAATTTAAGTTAGGCACCTTAACAAACAGGCAATTTCAAGACTTGACATGTTTCAAATGTGAGTCGTGTGTCACTGTTCAGCCATTCCTGCCATAGAAACAGATTACTGTGAAGACAAGACATGAATTTGCAGTCCACCAGCTAACCAACCCTACAGAATTGGCAGTGACTTTTGGGGCATACACACAGCAATTCACTTCAGCATGAACTCAACCAGATGGACCACCTCAGCTCTTTGGCTGTCTTGATACCTCTGCACATCTTGTACTTCAAACAGGGGCTCTTATCCAGACAATGCAACTCATCCAAAGGGTACCATCTACCAACCATCTTAAGATACTCGTTTATGAACTGTTCTCTGTACGAAGTCATTCAATTTGCCAATAGATGGCAAATGGCACTAACAAATAAATTACCTGCTGCCCTCTAATAGAAACCAGTGATGACCCAAGTCATCTCAGAAACCGTAGCAGTTTTTCTTAAGGAATGATTAGTTGAAAAACAATACTAAAGACACAGTAAGTGTTATTACTAAATCCATTCTCTTGTCATCTTTATGGGAGTCAACTTTCCTGTTCTATGCTAATCAGATCAGTTTGCAGAAGCTCAGAAAGAGGAACTTTAACCAAGTGTACCTGGAGCATCCCAGGGACAGAGAGAAACAGCCAGGAGGGACTTCTGAGCACTCATTGCCTGTGAAATTTTGAATCCCCTTAAACCAGTCATTCAGGTTAGGTCAAGATACATGGGCTTAATCCTTCCATTCCCTCTGGCAAAGTGCAAAGCACTTTGTCAAGGAGCTTTCAACTGAGGCCAAATCAGCAAGTTTGTCTTGTTCTGCTAACGCAGTAATGCTGATGATCTGCCAAAAGGTAAGGCTTCCTCTCACATGTGATCCTGCTTCCCATTCAAAGCCAATGTATTTTACTGCTGATAAAGATGAAATTTAGACTCTTCAACATTATTTTCCTAACAGGCATATGGGTATAAAACATCTTTTTGGGCCAGAATCACATCAATTTATGCTACAGAAAGTAACACCCTCTGAGACAAAATAACTTCCTCTGACCTGTTAATTACTATAATGCACCTGCAAGAGTAAGTCCACTCCTGACTCATGCCTTCAGTGATTACCAATACCTGAAGTTTGTAAGCTCACTGAAAATAGCATTGGTTACCATAGATTAAATCCAGAATTAAAGTCTCACCATGCTACAAGCATAGTGCACTTGCGACTGACTGACTTGCGCCACATTGTGCCCTGGAGACCAGCAGGCAAAAATCACACATAGATAACCCTTCTCCGTGGAGGAAAGATCCTTCTCCTCTAACAGCCATAGAAAGCTCCAGATTGAAAGACTGTACCTGCAGATTCTCCTCCATCTTATGTAGAAATAGGATGAACAGGACTGAGACCTACAATTTCATTTCATAGATCAGACTCGATGCTGAAAATGTGGATGATGCAAGGCATGTATCTGTTATCACAGACCCCTGGGTCAAAGAAAGGGGGACACACAAAGCCTGACCATTTATATTTTCCCTGCCTGGTGACAATGTCAGGAGCACAGTTTGCAGCTCAGTATGACACCATGCAAACATCTGCATAAAGATGCAGAGATCTTTAATGTGTATGTAAAGGGTTCTAGCGGAAGTGCTTTAAGTGAAGGAAATTCAGAGCAGAAAAGCAAACACCACTGATGCAAGCAAATACTATCATTAACAAACTTAGAGCATTCAGCTATGAATGCAGTTTAAAATCAGTTGTCAACAGAAGACATCCCTCAAAAAAAAAGGAATTTTCAACTAAAGTGGCATCAGCACAGTGCCTATCCCCATGCCACCACAGTCCCAGCAGATCAGAAAGGCGAGGACATTAACTCAAGCAATGACCATTCCTCCCTAGCTGGACCTTTTGGTTGTGATCAACTGATCCTAAGGGTCTGCACTGTGAGCTCAGCTAAGTACCCTCTGGCCACCTGATGCATGTCAAGGCACCAAAAAAAGGCATCTTTGTTTTCTCTCTATTAGAGCTGGGTTGAAGACAGTAGTCAAATTCAAGCAGCTGATTCTTATTTGTAGATCTATAGAATAGTCCTTTCGCTAGGGTCATAGTGTACATGAAAAGCATTTCTCAGTCACTCAGAACATGACCTTTGTAGGTCCTTCCTTTTTGCAAACCTGTAGAAAGTAAATAACCATTGTCAAGGAAAAATCAAAAGCGATACATCTGGCTGATCATATTTCTATCAAACAATAGGAATGAACACTTTTGCTTCAAAGTATTCATTCATAAACGCTTCCTCAACAACTACACAAAGACACCAAGGATATCTAAACGTGGAGGAATTGAATACTTACCTAGTTAAGACCCCTAAGCTTCATCATTTGTATCAAAGACCATCTTGACCAAATATTGACACTTGCCTACCATTACAGTAGGATGAATTTAAATATTTCAACTTCTCAAATCAAGAAATGAAATTAATCTACAAATATTTTAATGCAGCAAGTTTGGCTGTAGAACCAGTGCAACATGAAGACGACACCCACTGTATAACCAACTTTACTGCTTAATCTTAACAGAGTAAGCTACAAATGCAATGGATTTACCGCAAGTTATCTGGTTAAATTAAATACTGCAGTTAGGATCATGCTGTTGGTAATTGTGGCTTAACAGTACCAATGCTCAAGTCCGCTGAGTTAGTTTTACTGTAAGTAAAAGTTTACAGAGAAACAAAATGATTTAGTATCATAAGCTGTATTCTGTTCCATGCTCAGTCACAATGAGAACATCTTCAACAGATAAAACAGTATTTCAGCATTACGTTAATAATGCCAAAACATACAGGAATTTTAATGCCAAATTTACAACATAATACAGTGCTTAACAAACAGATTTCTCTGGTATGGTGGCCAAGTGAGAATGCTACAGAGGACTGAGGAATATGCAAGCACTACTCATGGCACACAAAGTGAACCACACCAACAGGAATGCTTTACCCTTTACTGTTCAAGAAGTTTGTGTCCCAAACATAATGCAATGTAAAATGAATGTTGAACCCTTGCCTCAGACAATGAAGCAAAAGTAAATGTTATTTACAAACCTCACCCAGTAAAACCACTTTAATAACAGAAAAAGACTGTAATCATTTGACAAAGACAACAGAGCTTGATTACTGTATTATATGAGCTAGAATGGTAATGAAGTTGTAAACAGACTTTAACCAAATCAGGTTAATGCATCTATTCTTTACTCAGGAATATCATGATCTCAGTAAACAGTGATTATTTTAAAGCTAAGGATGCTATCAGAGGTTTTATTTTTGTTTAAAGCCAAAACTGACAGAAAACCTGGAAGCTGGCAAATCATTTTGTTCCCTAAAGGCCTTCATTAATTTATCCACCGTGTATTTTCAAAACCCCTGTTTGTATCTAATTCTGCTTCAACTTAAGTACCTGATAGCAAAGTTGAAGCACTATCAACACTTGAAAAATCCCTACCGAGTGGTCTGGTTTTCCATTACTGGGGATGAAATTAGATTGCTGGCATTGTTCTACAGAGAAAACACCACACCAAACGTTCATTTGTCATTCTAAAAGAAAAGCTTCCTCAAAGTTAAATAGTCCTTGCAAATATGCAAAGAAACACACAGTTAAATCAGATTTGAATCTGTCAAACACAGCAGTGTCCTTCTCATTCTTCCTCCCTGCCACCCTCCAAACTAGCGGCATTGCTGAAGCGACTGATGTGAAATGGATTGAACTAAATTCATTTACATGACTCCTGGATACAAAACAAAAAGAAGCTTTGTCCCTGCCGCATCTATTTTTGTCTTTTTTCTGCACTTTGTAATGAACTCATGCAAGCACAAAGGGGGTTGGTGGGTGTCTGTGTGGTGCTGTTTTTAAACAGGCGTAAGAGTTGTGCAAGACAAAACTGAACAAAGTTTGTTTCACTTCAGAAAGATTTTATATGACCAACTCATTTCTCTTCAGAACTAAAGGTACTGAAAATAAATCCATAGTAACAACAAATAAACCCCCAAACAACAACAAACCCTGTAGTCAAACTGCTTTTTCAAGTATATATCTCCCCTCATGAAAGAACTGCATTAGCCATACCACTGATTAAAACCCAAGTCACAATCACTAGGATTTAGACCATCGGTCCAGATCTCCTGGAACTGGGCTCAGCTGGATCTCCAACTGAGCCTACACAAGACTGGAAGCAAGAGGCTGCATTACACCACTCCTCAACTCCCTGATTCTGACTACACCCACCATCATACCCCCTTCACCTTCCTAAAACAGGAGATGTGGCACAGAAGCCACAAAGTGATCTTGGACGGGTACCACTGTTCGCAGATCAACCAGGTGCACATCTAGTTTGTGCTGACAAAGATGCACACTGCAGACCTACTGGACTGGAGAATTTTGTCCACAATGTTGCTACATAGCACAACATAAAACGTATCTTAGTATTTCATTCAATCTGGAATTCACATCTCGATCTATTGCAATTATGGAAGCCAATGAAAAGTCAATGAGAGGGTTTCTACAAGAGTTGGTCCCAGCACTGAACACAAATATATATGAAAATTAAGAAGGGGACAAACTTTCAAGTCACTATTAGCAATGGTGACAGGTTCAACTTTTCTCCCTTCCTCATTAAATTCACCTCCCATTAATGCAAGAGAAAAGCGCAACTTTGCAGCATGTTTGTTCGCATCAAGTTTTGCCTCAAGAGCACATTTTGCAGTAAACAAAATATGGTCTCTGAAGTTGCAAAGTGCACAAGCTGAAGGCACAGAGTACGAACACACAGGAAAAGAGATTCAAAATACCAAGTAACAAAAACCAAAGAGGAAAGAAAAATCTGGAATCTTAAACTCCCTGACAGAAGATACATTTACATGGGACCAACTCTTCAAAGGTGACCATTTTTAAACTAACAAACAAATACTGTAAAATAACAAAACTTTATTCTTATTAAGTAAAAGCTCCAGAAAATACCTTGAAGTTTAAAAACTAATACACTGATGTGTTAACTAGTTTTAAGAATGTCCTTAATATTAAGAAAAGAGTGCAAAAAAGATTCTTCCATTCTAACGCTTTTGGAAGCTGCTGATTTCGCTGCCCGTTTCCACTTTGAAAGGATCATTTTTCAAGGTGCATTCCTCACAGAAAAAAATCACAGAACATGAACTTGTCGATAGGTTAGACCAAGGAAACATGTCTTTCAAAGTCATCCCAATTGTAGCAGCAACTGACATTTTATTATATAAAGAAGAAAGTCCAAAACTCTTCTTTGAGGCATAGCTCGTGTCAGAGCTCGAGTATCAGCAGTTGCCAAAGGAGGCTCCGGATATCACCTGCGCTCCTCCAGTGTCTGTTCTGGCTAGGATTAGAAGCTGATCCAGTATATTCACTATCTGTACCCCCTGGAGCTTGCACAAGTTGATGAGCCATCTGAAATTACATTAAAAGTTCAAGAAATTCTCTTGTATTAGAACTTCCACCTTATGTCCTTTACCCACCTTCCCCCAACAGCCCAAAACCCAGCACTGATTGCAAAACATCAACAGTGTAAACAGAAGCTGGTATAACATATGAATATCCATTCACTCATTTCAAGTTGTAATAATAGTTCATCATAAAACTGCATGACATTTTATGGTAAGAAATAAAGCAAATAGCTGAAGGCACAGGAGGAAACTTGGTGGAAAGAATGCAATAAAATGAACTGGCAATAACTAAAGTTATTAATCCCCAATCTCCAAGGCTATTTAATGACAATCAGGACCTTGTACTTCAATCCCAACCTGGAATACACAGGACTAGATTCTCCCCTGGACAACTATTTAGTCAGCACAAAAGATGGGGCTTTCACTACACCCAAATAGCTATATGTGGAGATGAAGTCCCTGATACCTCACCACCCCTGAGAAGCCAGAAGCCCACCACTACCTGTATGCCCAGCCTCTCAGGGACTGCAGCACACTGGAGGGCAGGGGTAGATGCATACTTACTGTAAGTTAACTCTTCTCCAGCTCTCTTGCGTGACTGGTCACCTCTAGGAAAGAAAGAGAAGAAAGGTATTTTCATGATGATGTGAACTAACTGAAGATGCTCCTGCCTGTAGGGGGATAAGACCTTTAATGGTTCCTACCAAACCAAACCATTCAATGATTTTTAAAACAGGAAATTAGTATGAAATACCTCAGCACAGCCATCAACTTTCAGACTTCAGAATCAAAATTCAAACACAGCAGCAATAACACATGACTACAGGATTCTCAATTCACTAGAACAGACGCATCAGCTATATTTTTTGGATTTCATTAGCTCATCCTTCCATTAAAGTGTGTTTGATTTTATAGGATAATTTTGTACAAAATTAAGATGAGGAAAATTGCTCATATGTAGGGTGGTCTGAAGTCATGCATAAAATTGTTTTCCTTGCTTCAAACTCCTTAACCGAATTTTATAGAGCTACGTGAAAAACTCTGCATCTATCACTAAAGAAAGGTACGATGTTGCTGAAAACCCAACAGACTCTAAGCAAGCCTGAGCTGAGAGCACTCCCTCTTCAAGGGGAAAATTCAAATAAGTAACTATAAAGTTGTATAAACACTGGTTGACATTATTGGGCCTGAAAACCCAAAGTCGAATTCCCATTGGAAAACATGGTTTCTTTTCTTTTATTCTTATGCACACAAACTTTTAGAAGCTGGAGAATACCTAACATCCTTGTGGTGATAGATATGCCATTGATGCTGTTAAAGAAGAGAGATTCTAATATATTTTCATCACAGTGGTTATAATGTCACATTTATCTGCTGTAAGTTGGCAGAAATTGGTTTTTTTTCCAACAATATGAAATGTTCTTCCCTGAAGAAACTCTTAAGATGACTGACCTGCTGTGCATGCCTTGATTAAGGTCCTTCACAAGAGAAATACTGCCAAGCAACTGGCCTATCCTGCAACAATAGTATTTAATAGTGTTTATAACCTGACTATTTCAACTGGAACCTGACATGCCGTTAATGCTGCCCAAGAGACCTCATTGTGTTGTGTTCCTCAAGGTTATTGCTTTACAGAGAAATGCAGCAGCAAAGACTTCACCATTTCTGGTGCAACTGGAGAAGAATAGATGACATTTCATACTAAGCTAGAAGAGAACAGACTTGGCACATTACTTGCTAAAAGAGAAAACCACCTTTTTAAAGTATAAATATATACATCTGTATGTGTAGGAATATAACCTCAGATTAATTTTGAGTTAGAAATAAGCTATATTTATTTACAACACAGGAAGAAATGTATTTCAAGATGTAATATGCAAACCAAAATGTGTTTCAAATGCCACTGCAAAATGCCATGTGGCAAATATATTATCTGTGTTTCAGTTTTCCTTTCCCTGTACTCTTTTAATGATGACAGACTCTAACACTTTATATGACCTCCATGTTTACCCGACTGCACTGACCCCCTGACAGTACAACCATATTAATATGCTCTGCAAAACACATTCACCAGAAACTAAATGGCATCAATCAGTTACTACACTGCAAAGGTTTAGTTTGCATTTTTATTTAATACACTGGAAGCAGTTATGTAGAAACAGCAGCTGCGCAAAAGCATGGGCTAGGGTAGGCCAATTGCCTAAACCTACAAGGTATACCAAAACTCTTCACATGTTCAATACCCAGAAGATGCCATACTGCATAAAGCCTGAAGGAAGAGAACTTGTAGAAATTAGGCTGTGCCAACAATATGTGACACTGAAACCTTAACTAATACTTGGTTCATCCTTGTATGAATATCATCAAGCCCTAATCTCTTCTCTGTCCCCACTTCACACACAGGACAGAAACAGTTTCCTATGGATCTGCAATAGATCCAGTGTTAGAGAATTACTTTTCTGCATAAACCAGGAGTTTCTAAAGTATGCCCTAACAAGAGAGCATCAAGGAGGTGTCTAGCCTTTGCAGTGGTCAGTATCCTTCCTAGCCTTTTATACAGCTTCTTCCTCACAGCACCCGCCAAAGAACTTCACAGCCAAGCTAACAAGCCTCTTTTATTTTCAGGTACCTAGGGATAAATGTTTTTGTCGCTATGGACTGTTACTACTTGAAACTTGATCTTTAATTCTCTATGAAGTGTGAAACTGGTGAAATGCAGTTGTAAGCAGAATATTAGAAGCCACTTACGGGATTAGTAATACTGAAAGACAAAACTAAAATGTTCCCTTTTTTGTTCTGTGTACTACATTCTTTTGTCAGCATTGTAGGCCAACTCAGTTTCCAAGTCTCAAAATTCTGTGTCTTGTGCCAGCTGCACTGCTCTTTTCAGCTCAAGCCCTTATGGCTTGTTTTCAGTGCCTTTACTCATATGTGTGTACTTGGCAAAAACATCTTTTCCTCACTAGAAAGCCTTACAAGGAGTGAACCTACAAAACCATTTGTATCTGAGTCAGCAGTAGAGTTTTGAAGCTCAATAATTTACCAAACTTTGAAGAGAGAGATCACCTTTGAGGAAACCTACATAGACTCATAGAATAGTTAGGGTTGCAAAGGACCTTAAGATCATCCAGTTCCAACCCCCTTGCCATGCACAGGGACACCTGACTCTAAACCATGTCACCCAAGGCGCTGTCCAACCTGGCCTTGAACACTATCAGGGATGGAGCATTCACAACCACCCTTAAGAATTTCCTCCTTATATCCAATCTAAACTTCCCCTGTTGAAGTTTTAACCCATTACCCCTTGTCCTATCACTACAGTCCCTAGTGAAAAGTCCATCCCCAGCATCCCTATAGGCCCCCTTCAGATACTGGAAGGCTGCTATGAGGTCTCCACACAGCCTTCGCCAGGCTGAACAGCCCCAACTTTCTCAGCCTGTCTCCATATGGGAGATGCTCCAGTCCCCTGATCATCCTCATGGCCCTCCTCTGGACTTGTTCATACTTGAAAGTGTGAAATCCAGGAGTACATCTTACACTAAATATACCACGTCTACTGGGCGTTCAAACTACAGGACCAGATTCTCAGCGTTGCACAGGTAACAAGAAAGATGAAGACTTATTCTCTTCATGCAGAAATGATTCTCTTGGGAACAGAACACAGTGGCTCCCCCAGATTGTTAACACTACTGCAAAAGTGGTACAACGCTGTGGCGAAAGCACTGTGCTTCTGTCTAGGCAGTTAAATAGAAGAGCACAAAGCAACAGGGACTGCCCAGAGGGCACAATACAGGCCAGGAACATTTTCTGCTGTCTCTTGCTGCTTTTTCTTTCTTGCCCTCCCTAATTCAATACTTAGATGAGAAAAAGACTATTTAAAATAAACACCTTAACTATATAAATAGCTCTGTAGGTGGAATAAAGAGAAAGTCATCAACCGGCATTTTCAGAAACATCATGAAAAGAAGTCAGTTTATAGAAAATAAAGAGGCAAAGTAAAGGCTGAACAAGGGCATAATCATACATTAGAAACAATCAAAACACAGGGAACTGTGTTTTGAATTTATGAACTATAAGCAATCTTTTTCATGAAAATATTTCAAGACTTCCAATCGTCTTTTTGGTATCATCTGCAGGGCTGGCAGTGCTCCAAAAGCACAGAAAATAAGGCCATTTTCAAATACTGAGCTGTGAATGTTATTTATTAACTCTTGAATTATTTCTTCAGTATTTTTAGGTGTACCCATTTTTACCATTTCAGCACTGTCCAGCAAAATTACTACTGAAGACTAATAATTATTACCTAGTAAATCCATTCTGCATAAGCTCTCTCTGAAGTTTCTGGTCTTGAGCAGCATATTCCTGAAGCTCAGATTCCACAGCAGGCGGCAGAATATTTGGGATGAACTTAGAAAACAAAGCTGGTGCCATCTGTACCCATTCTGTAAAAGGGGAAGCAACAACAAACCGTGGAAAAGATCTTTTGTAAAAATCTTATTCTTTGACAAACGTAACTTTGCTCTATTTTAAAAACATTTTAGGATCTTGAGTGTAAACAAACAAATATTGCACCCAAAAAAAACCCAAGCCATCCCCAAACTCCACAGAAACCAAGCCTTAAAGCAGAACAAATAATCAGATGTTTACATGTAGATAAAAGATTTACTGCTTGTCATCAACCTCATCAACAAACTGAAATCCAGTTCTTGCTGCATCTCACAGGTCCTGCTGAGTCTCTGCACTCACCTCAAAACCAAGTTTGATTATCAACTCACCTTGATAATCAGCTCATTTGTAACCCTTTACTCTGCAAGTGTATTCACAGTGCTGACACCTCTCTTCCTTGAGCCTTCCTTCTAGAAATCACACTAATGTCACCATACAACCCTGCTTCTCCGTCTCCCATTTCAAATGAATTAATACAATTCTCTTCCAGATCTTCCAAGGCGTAGATGAACACTTTTCTAATCTTCATTATGTAATATTAACTTCTACTAGTTCAGCTTTAGCACAGAAATGGGATTTAATTTCACTATACTGAACATTGCCTTATAGGAGCAAGATAGTTTACCTTAAAGTTGCTTCAAGGCTGATTATATGAAACACAGAATGAGTCACAGATGAAAATTGGGTTTCTAGCAACTGTTCTGAGAAAAAAAAATACTTCTTGAGTATTTCTGAAGCCAGCCTTCCCAGAGGTTATAGCAGTTACCTTACACTCCATCTTTACTTGGAAAAAAGGGATGCTTTTAAAAACATCCACTAAGGCATATGACAAGTTTTCACCCAATTCCCACATATATTTACTTGGTCAATGCCAAACTTCACTCTTCACTCTAACTGGCAAACTTAGAAAACCCTCGTTATTAGTGTACAGGGGGGTTAAACAAAAACCAATGCACTAAACTCCCTCATCACAGAATCATTTAGGTTGAGAAAGACCTTTAAAATCATCAAGTCCAACCATTAACCCAGAACTGCCAAGTACACCACTAAGCCATGTCCTTAAGTGCCACATCTACACATCATTTAAACATCTCCAGGGATGGTGACTCAACCACTTCCCTGGGCAGCCTGTTCCAGTGCTCCACATCTCTTTCAGTGAAGAAATTTTTCCTAAATACCCAGTCTTTGGGTTCAGCCATCCAGACAGTTTTACCCAGGGAAGTGCACCCATCCACACCATGAGGAGGCAGTTTCTGCAGGAGAATGCTGTGGGAAACAGTGTCAAAGGCTTTACTGACATCCAGGTAGACAACATCCACAGCCTTTCTCTCAACCACTAAGGGTCACCTTGTCACAGAAGATCAGGTTAGTCAAGCAGGACCTGCCTTTCATAACCCATGTGGACCAGGCCTGATCACCTGGTTATCCTGTATGTGCTGTGTGATGGCCCTTGAGATCATCTGCTCCATGACCTTCCCCAGCACTGAGGTCAGGCTGTCAGGCCTGTAGCTCCCCAGATAAAATGCAAAGCAAAACCAAATCAACAAAACCCCCAAATTCTACAGACATGAAACAGCATTCTTCATCTAATGAAATACAGGAAAAAGATACCATGTGGAATGTGTTACCTACTAAAGACCTAATGCCAGTGAATCATTTAGCCAAGCTATTAAACTGACATGGAATTCACAATATGAAATACTGTGGTAGAACATTTCATGCCACTGCCAGATCATCATGGGTGAGGTGAAAAGAGTATTTCAAGCTAAATCCAAGTGGGCCAACCGGCAGCCTGAGCACCTGCCCAGGCTCCTGTGTTTTCTGATGCAGGCACCACATGCTGGAGTTAGAATTAGAAGACAGTCTTTTCTGGCAACATTTGAAATCTAATAGCCTGTCAAGTACTTTGAGCCTGAAAAGAAAACAAGAGAAGAGAGAGCCCATCGCCACCAGCCACATCAGCATCACTTCTCCTTTTGCTCTTTACATTGCTTAAGCAGACACTTCCTAGTGCTGCTCTAATATCCCAGCACATCCCCCTGACGACATTTTTCTGCTTTACTTCTCCAGTTATCTGCTTGCCAGACCCATAATACATCCAATGGTGCAAGTCCCACAGAATAAGTAGAAAAGCATGGCCTCAGAGAAACGCTTGCCCCGACTGTTTCAGAATTCATCCTCAAGAACCAGCACCACCACAGAACAGCCTTTTACATCAAGAAGTCTATCCTGTGCTCTTTTGGTTGGAATGACATTAAAGTTCCTTATTTTCTCACAGGCTGAGAAGCTTGAGGAGCAGGTAACCAGAGAAAATGAGTATTGTTTAAACAACAGCTTCAAGTCAGCCACTTGGGTCTTCCTACCAGTTGTGCAAAGCAGGCAAATGGTAGGAACAATCTTTATACTTAAGTATCTTACAGACATAAGACAACTATTTAAAATCCGATTAGGTGCATGGTACCAACTCAAACCAGTATCTGTTGTGTTGTGAAGTAGACAACAGTGATCATCTGAAATGGAAAACTGGGAAATCACAAGTCCATCGCCTATAAGAAAACCACACTGATCTGCTTTCAAAAGAATTATATATACACTCTTCTTTTCTTTGGTACTGAACAGTTCACAAAAATGAAATCAGTATTGCCTTAAAAATGATGGTACGATGTTAATTTTGCTGTTGTAAAAATAATCCTTGCTTACTGAAAGAGCTTTATCCATGCAATTTGTAAATGGAGGGTCCACCCCATTCCTAGCTTGCACACAAGAACCAGAGCTTTCTGTAATGTTTTCCCATGCTCATTTCTATTTTTACATCAACTAAAGTATGAGAGAGCATCCCTTTTTTACCTGGTCGTAGTGTATACAGGCCTTTCACAATATTTGCCATGGTTGAAGGAGTTATTTGGAAGGGTGTTGACTGAGCTTCCAAAAGTAAAGCTGAAATAAAATTAAGACAATTAGCAGGGTTTCTAATAAACAAATATAGGCTCTTACATATACATTTTTATATCAAAGACAAACAGTAGTTGTGCTTTGTTATCTGATGTTCTCACAAAGGAAACAGGTATATGACTGATACTGCTCAAAAGTAATACAACGTCACCTTTAATAGACATATTCTGCTCAAATTATATGTGTTGAAAATGGGAAATAACTTGTTTTTCATCCGTTTTCAGACAGGCAGCAGGAGTCATGAGGAAAAACCAAGCAAGTGATGGCTCTAAGTATTCAGATGCAGAACTCAAGTAAACAATGTATTTTTAGAAGCACTCTCATACTGTGTGCCAAACACCTGGAGAGCCACAAATCCTTGCTTTACAGTACTTTGAATCTTGTACAGAAAATGAAGGATAGTTGGAAGTCTATAAATGAAGTACAAATAGTGTAAAAAAAATGTAACAATCAAATAAAGTGGTTCTTTTAAACACAAGTGAATATTTTTATTTCATTCTTGGTATCTTCTGTAGCATACATCACAATAATTGCATTTTCTTCTTGTGGAAAAACCTGGCAACAGCACATTCACCATTTCTATTATAATACACAGGCCTTTACCCTGCCTTGTAATTTATAAGGCTTGAAAGGTTTAAACTTATATCTGAATTATAAAAACACCCAGGAGAAAGAAAAGAAATAAGTAAGGTTTAAACCAACTGCTGCCTCTCAGCTCTTATTCCTCTACAAAGGAGTTAAGCAATAAATACACCTTTCCGTACCCATTAGATAGAGGAGAAATGACTCTTGTGACTCTACCTAAAGTGCGTATCTCTGTGCTTACATGGTACAGACTCTGCTTTTTAAGCTCCAGAGCATCTCCAGATCTAGCTGCAGCATCTGCCACTACAGTACCATGAAATGGAAAACAGTGTCAGAAAGAGAAGCACATGCTACTGAAGATTTAAGTGGCTCACATAATAGGGAAATTAAAAAACAAAGTACATTTTCTACTCTCCAAGCAACCAAAGTTGTTATATTTAACTGTTGCAGGTGAATTTATTTTACAAAGAACCATCTTACAAGCGCTTACTCATTTCAGCTGAAGCCTTGAGGGGGCAAGAACCTGTGATTTGTTTTGTAATGACTTATTTACAGCCTATTTCCTAGAGACATTTTTCAAACAGCCTCTTCGCAACCAAGAAAGTTGCAAATCACAGAATTAGAGAGGAGATAATGCTTTATAAGGAAGCTAGGCAACAGTAACAGACAATCCAAATAATGTGTGGGTATATATATATTTGACTGTAGCTACTTTAGCCTAAGCGTCACCAACAGATTTGCACTGTCCAGAGAACTGCAAATTTGTTCTTCAGATACAGACATCAAATTATATCCCTAAAATACGTATAATCAATTACTTAAACCAAAATTAGCCTAGGAATTAACAATGACATAGAAAGCACAAAGTCCAGAGATAGAAGTACCTGAACTTTTAGTAAGAAAATTAAAGTAGCATAGCTTCTTGAATTTAATCCTCACAAACAAAAAACTGTGCTCTCACTAGTGCCCAAGTTATAACTACAAGAGCAATCAAAAACTATTTCAGAAGCTACTTTATGTAACTTTATAAATAAAGGATATATTGTGGGAGAAAATGATGCTGCTGAGAGTTTTCTTCCCTTCCAGGTAATGGAAACCCCCACTAGTGGTCCCTTAACATGATCAAGGTGTTGACCAACTGCATTACCTGTAGAAGCAATAGCTTAAGAGGATAGTCCACGTCTTGAGTACAGTTTACCATTACAAACATGCACTATTACTTGTCACTTTTGTTAAGGTAATATTCACTAATGAAGCTCATTTCAATTGTGAACCTTCGAGGTCATGTGAACAGATATATCTGCAATATAAAGCATGCATAATAAGCAGCCACTTGTTTCTGTTCTAGATTATTGGTCACACTACCTGTCATTAGAAAGCGATTTCATGATTAAAATCCGTGGAAGAATACACCTGGAGATCACCACACGCTACAACGCAAATTGAAGTCGCTCCCTGATTACAGCCAAACACAAGCACGATGGCATTATATTCAACAACAATACAACAAAGTAATGGCATACATTTCCTGTTTCTCAATAAAGAAAAGTGAAAGAATATACTATTCATTAAATCATAATCCAGCCTTCACTTTCTCCAAAGTTAGATATCAATGCTGTTGATAAATAAATAGCACTTCTGCAGGATATGTCTTTTCGGAATGATTTCCACAACAACGAGCAAGACTCCTCTCTTTGGAAAGATCCAAAAAAAATCTCAGTTCAGGTTTACAGACAAAGATGTAAATAGACGGAAGACGTAAAACTTCGCCTTCAGTTTTGCAATGAAACCTACCTAAAGGTTCACCAATCCTGGATAACTTCTCAAGTGAAGGTCACTTAAACAACTGTGCCAGACATGCTGAAGTTATCCCTGTTGTTATTTTACAGTCTCACAAAAGACCTCCACATATTAAGGCTTTGGCTCTTGTTTTATTAGAATAATTAAGACAAAACAGAAGTTGCACTGACTCCTCCCTACTCTCAGAAGCTCCAATAAAACTAAACCTCAGATGACTGATAGCTGTACCGACGCTATGATACTATCTGACCACCTCCCCAGTGCTTGTGAACTAATACTGCATTTTACAGACTAAGTAACCAATATGCTAAGAAGTTAATTAAGCTGAAAACAGTCTTGAAAACAACCCATGGCAGAATCAAAGAAAAGCGTGGGTTCCCAAGATGAAATGCTTTAATTCAGAAACACACAAGATGCTTTGAAATACTGTTGAACCAAGGTAAGACACAATACCTAGAACAACCTCAGGACTTTTTTTGAGTTACGGGGGATGAACTATGTTGGAGTAAGGGAGGTATGAACCTGCAGCACTTCAGGTACTCCACAGTAACTGAGTTACTCCATTATTACACAGTAACACTGGAGAAGCTTGGCCCTCAATGAAGGTTTAAACTACTTCCTAATTACAGTGGGGTACATGGGGCAAGATCTGTGATCCCAGTAATTCCAGAAGTAGCAGATGACATCTCAAGTTCAAAACCACTAGTTCATAACTCAAGGTTCACTTGAAGAAATTAAGAGTTAACTACCCTAAAAAACCTTTTCTGTCCTTCCACATTCCTTTAAAATAGATTTATTTTGCTTGGCAGACAACTGAAACTTTCGCATGTTAGCACACAAGATTTTTTCCTCCCTTTCCAGTAATTTAATAGAATTTAAAAACAAGATACTTTAACAAATTATACATAAGTATGGCTTAGGCAGATGTGTTCAAAGTTGTAATTATTCAGGGATGCACTTAAAGGGTATTCCCATTAAAAGCACCTCCAACAGCTTCCACAACTAAGGCATTAGTCAGCTGCTGCTCTCCAGTCTTCAGCTGAAGCAGAACTTACTGCTTAATGAAGCTGCAAAATAGAATGAATGTATTCTGGAGATCTTTATCCCATTGCACAAGCTGTGCTCTTCAGTACTTAATTCCAGTATGCAATACTTACATTATTTTGCAGAACAACAGCTTTAACATTTCCACAGGATTTAAATCCTTACACAACCTGAGTAAGATATATCTGAGCTTTCCAGTACCTAAAGGGGCCAACAAGAAAGCTGGAAAGGGATGCTTTACAAGGGCAGGTAGGGACACGACAAGGGGGAATGGCTTTAACCTGTCAGAAGGGAGACTTGGATTAGGTATTAGGAAGAAATTCTTCCCTGTGAAGGTGCTGAGGTGCTGGCACAGGGTGCCCAGAGAAGCTGTGGCTGCCCCATCCCTGGCAGTGTTCAAGCTCAGGTTGGGACACAGGGGCTTGGAGCAACCTGCTCTAGTGGAAGGTGTCCTTGTCCATGGCAGGGGTTGGAACTGGATGAACTGTAAAGTCCCTTCCACCCAAACATTTCTATCATTCTATGACATACAGGGATACGCAGTAGTAATGATGAAACTGTCCCCAGTGCACAGCCAATACAAACCCAAACAGCCCAGGTTCACCTGGCACTTCTGCCCTTTAGGAATATCATCAGATCACACACACTCAAACCTATAGTTTAATAAATAACCTTTCTCTTAACCAAACTGCACCTGACCACACCTTGAACATGGTTCCTGTATCCCAGCCTTTACTCCCAGATCCAGCCTGTGCCAAGCACTTGATTAAAAGCCACATGCCAACAGCTAATAGGAAGGGAACCACCATGGTTGGCATCCAAAATGCGACTGTAGTTTTATGTTACTGTTCTGGGTTGAGGTTTTAGGGAAGGCTGGCTGGGTTTGTTCTGGGCTTTTTTTTTTTTGGGGGGGGGTCATTCTTTGGAGTTTTGGATTTGTTGTTTTATTATTTATCTGCTGCCTATTTTATTATTAGAAGGACTGATCACTTTTCACTACTTTAACGGAGATACAATTTGTACATGTTAACTTCAACAGCCTTTTACATGAATGCCAAACTTTCCTCCGGCTTAATCCTCACATTTGCAGTAGCAAACTGCTCAAGATTATGCATTTTTCTTTTCCTTTAAATAGAACTAAAAATAGATTTTTAGCAAATAAAGTTCTTCAAAAGTTTGCAATGAATTAAAATGTAGATTAGAAAAAAAAAAAAAAAAAAGACCTAAATGTTGTATTTATTACTAAGCATTTGCCAGTAGGAATTTCACAGAGCCACAGATTATGTTTAAAATATTCATTGCATAGCCCAAAAGCTTTAAGTATCTAATGAAAATGCTACAAAACAAAAAATTCCAAAGTTTTCATCACATGGAAAATATCCAGTGTTGTTAGAAGAATAAATATGAAAAGCAAAGCTATAAATGCAGACATACATACTTTGGGGTTTCTATAATTGGAAAATAAGGTGATATCTTTCCATTTGAAATGTTATGTTAAGGCTTATTGAAATGGGAACATTATTCCTAGTTTTTTTACCAAGGAACTAGATTAAACA